CTATTAGATCGGCGGTGTGTCATTTAAGTGTCAATACCGTGTAGGTGGTCTTGAAATAAACACTCAGAAAATGTATAAATGTCCACTTTTGTTCTATTCAAGTCTTGAAGTTTAATGTAACAAATGTATACATTTTTTGAGAATGTTTTACAATACGGCAGCACATGTTGTGAGATGAAAGCTTTCGTGGTTTACAACTAACTTTATTGTTAATAGGACTAAAATATGACGACCAAACACAGTCATAATCGTTCAAAATAGACTGATATAACAGCAGAACGTCATTGAAATACGCACTCCAAGACTGTTCTACGCAATGATGGTCGGGTAACAATCGTCAGCAGTAGGGCTAAATTTGGAAACCCTTCTGAGAAGTATAGATTTATGTTTAAATAGGAAAGGCAGACAGCCAGACCGCTGCTGAAATCTGTTGCTTTAAAAAAAGAGTGATTGAACCGTTTGATGTAGGCCTTGCCATGACGGTTCCCCAGACGTGTGCGTCTGGCTGGTACATTCATGCTTCCAATTGACCCTGCAAAAACCGCCGAATATTCATGTCCAACAGCCGCAGGAGACCTCGTTGCCATGACAACCGATCTCTGTGACGTAAGTGAGAGAATATTTCCTGGAATTTCTCATTACAGTGAAGTGAGGCGGCTGGACGCCCACTCTATCGCCATCTTCTTGTGGAATAATTTTTTTCCCGTTCGATGCTTGTGGCACACCAACAACAACCATTCATACAGTTTCCGTCACCGTTTTGTATTGATGGGAGTCCTATTCTTTGTTGACAGCGACAATGACCTGTAACTGTAATGCTCTTCCTCAACGACGCTAGGTATTTCATACTCTTCTTCTTTTATTTGGGTACAACTTCGTATAGGATGCATCACTCTACACTACTGTGTTTTGGGTTCAATGCCATCGGTGTTGTAAATTCTCACCAATGCAAGCCATTTTTAATATCGTCTGACTCCAACGAACGATAGACATTTAAATATATGTCTAGCCCACCACAACGTCATGTAGGGGAGGGGCAATGTTCGCTATTCTTTTCTGAATGGCGTCGTTTTTTGTGGATTCTTACGTTTTATATATATTATAGTCTTCTATATTCATACTCTGTCATGTCATACGTTTAAAACTAAAACTAGCTCGAAATCCTTTTTTTCTGCATACGTACACTGGTGCAAGTAACATTCAAAATTATCTGCACAAGACACATTTTACCTGCACCATCGGCATCTTTCCTTTTATACTTATAGGTATATTTTTACACTCAATAGGTATATTTTATATAATGTGGTAACACGTGTGCAGTCAATGCAGCAAATGGAAATCCACATACACATACACCTACACTCACACCTACTCATACATAAACCCAGTATATGGACGGTGCAGGTAAGGATTAAGGTATAGACAGGTACATGTATCAGAAATACCTGTACATCCACAATTTTACCTGCACTAAGGTGTATATGTAACCGGTATTTCAAACCCCGACGAGCCATTATGGCTGTGTAATGTATAAATTTGAAAAAAGTAACAAAACTAGACAACGCTGAACAAACGTAGCCTTGAAATCGAAAACGAGGCATAAAAGGCGCTTCGACAGATTATTCAAAAGAGGAGGAACTGGTCACCGCAGCAACACATTTTTGACGCCTGATATTTGATGCTACAGAAGAACAGAAATGTCGTTGGTCTTACTTTTATTTATTTGTATAAAGTTAAGGTTATTACCTTCGAGAATGAAATTGAATTCATCTATAGCAGAACATGTAACAAATTCTGTTGAGCAGGCGGAGAGGAGGTTGAACAGCTTTGTGCAGAAAGATAATATCAAAACATTGACCAGAGATACCATATTTTGGCCACCCCGCCACACACTGTCAAATGCCTTCTTCATATCGACAAATAAGGTATAGAAGAACTGAGATTCCGTAGGTCTAAGCGCGCCGCAGACGCCTGATATCCGTGGCTATAGAAGAACGGAAATGTCGTTGGTCTAAGCGGACCGAAGACGCCTGATATTTAAGGATATAGAGAACTTTATTGACATAACAAAAGTACAGCGACTTTCGTAAGTTCTTAAACTACATGTAGACACACTGACAAATACGTAGGCACAACGAAATTAACCTACGTACAAGGCAATAGATGAATCAATTAATACTACTTGATCTAAGGCCTAAACATTCTTTGATATATTTACCTATTTGTATACAGTAAAGGTTATTTACCTTCTAGAATGAAATTGAATTTATCTATAGCATAAAATGTAACAAATTCTACTATCATGCAAGTTCATCTGTGTTGGTAGTTACATGTTTAAGGTTAAAACTTTTGGTCCAACACAACAAAATTCTGTTGAGCAGGCGGAGAGAAGGTTGAACAGCTTTGTGCAGAAAAGTAATATTGAAAAATTCACCAGAAACACCATAATTTGATAGTTTATAGAAAAGGCCATCCCGACACACACTGTCAAATGCCTTCTTCATATCGACAAATATATAGAAGAACAGAAATGCCGTAGGTCTAAGCGAACCGAAGACGCCTGATATTTATGGCTATAGAAGAACAGAAATGCCGTTGGTCTAAGCGCTCCGAAGACGCCTGATATTAAGGATATAGAGAA